TGGCACAGGTTCTTGAACTTCTCGGTATATGCAACTGCTTCTGACAAGGTCTTCAAGCATCTCCTCGGAGACATGGGTCAAGGGAGAGCCTGATGGTCCTACGACCCAAATACAGCTGGGTTCTGCAAGGAACTCTTCCTCCGTTCCGGGCTACTTCTCAAAAATCCATTTGTGTTACTGCCATAGGCTGTTGACTCTGTTGACTAGGCTGTTGTTGTGGCACAGCTGTTCAGAATACCACACCCCAAACACTTTACTTCGATCCACGCGGCGTCAGAGGTCCACTTCTGGGGCCCCGCCGCACTGGGGCACCGGTGTTCCGGAAAGGTACCACTTGGATAGAACTACCCAGCAAGACCACTTATATAACCTGCTGCAACTCTCAAATGCTAGAACATTGTGATGATATCAACTGCAGTATCGTTCCCCTGGGCGCGATACGGATATTTCCTTTTTATTCTTCCTTCAGGAGACCCCGTTCAGTCAAATAGACCCAAGGTCGCTGCTGACAAGTCTACTTTCCTTTCATGCCGTCACACCTTGTTCTGGGTGGGATTGAATAGCTGGTGAACCAAATACCCACATGATCCATAAGCAAGCATCAACATCAAAACACGCCCCTTTGCAAGTTGAAAGGGCGGTGCTGGTCATTGGACACATGCAAAAAAGAATGGACCTTCATTAAGGCCACTTTCTTCTACAAAAGGGGCCATGTTCATCCATGATTTCAGGTGCAGTCCATCCACCGCTGCTCCCATCCACCGAGTCCAGGTCTTCTCCTCTGCAGGAAGTTATCCCCCGAGGGCACTAGTGAGGTGGAGGGCCGTGCCGGACTGCCTGCAGCCGTCCGGTCCGGTCCGGTGCACCCTTCTTTTTGGAATGGCAGCCAGGGATGGTTTTGGGACCAAGTGGAACAAGAAAAGCCAAATACTGTGGGAGTTCGGGATGAAAAGCCATTGGCATTCCTACAAAACCCTCAAGGATCCCTCAGGCTCATTCCTCCTGATCTTCCCGCGCAAAGGTTCAAGATGGATTGGCAAAGCCTGTTCCAGCCCACATGGCCGAGTCCGCCGAGTCCGGCGCCATGAAGGCCTGACTAAGACCTGAAAACTTAAGGAATCTTCACATGTTTAAGATCCAAAGAATTTTGGGTGTCCCTACTTCATCATTTTGGGTGTCCATTCAACTTAAGGAATCTTCACCCTGTGGTTGAATTTTGGGTGTCCCTACTTCAGCTCACAGGACGACTCCAAAGCATGAACGTTGGCCTCCAGTTCTCGGGGTCGTCGGCTGAGAGGTTGGCGTCGGGGTCGTCACCTGGCCCAGGAACCATCCAAAGGCTGCAAACATGAACGGCCTGCGTCGGCCCCAGTCGGCCCCAAAGAAATCCGCCACCGCACCGAGCCACCGAACGCCGCACGTTCGGAACGCCTTTCCCTGGTTCGGAACTCCTTCCGGTGGAACCGCTATGGAACCCGCCGTGGTTTGGTTTGGTCATCCGATCCGTGGCCCGAGCTGAAACATGTGAGGTTTTGTCATCGACGAGAATCACTGTTCTGCTTGGAACAGCGATTCTCCAACCAACATGGCAAAAATAGGACGTTGTAATGTTCATACCCTCTGGCTAAATGATAAACCAACCGTGACTGTCATAGTGGTAGGACAGGAGATTGCAGCCCTACCACAGGGTGTCACTCCAACCAATCATCCTTCTAAGAAAGCCAAGCCCTGCTCCTACTAAGCACTCAGAATTTGGTTTGTCCACTTCCCCATCCCAACGCCATCACCACACGGTTCAGCCCTGGAAGCTCGTCCCGTCACGTTCAGCGGGGCAAGGCACACTGGGAAGGCCAGCTTTGCCGCCTGGAAGAAGACCTCATCCCGCGAACGAACGAACACCCGGGAGGCATCTCCGACTGTCATCCGTCATGAGATGAACCATCACCAACCCAGTGACTAGTGTCTCGTCCAAGTGTATGCATGATGATGCATGCAAGGATTTGTTCTAGGCTCGGCGCATCTTCTGTTCCCTCTTGCTGGTTTCCATTGCACGTGAGAGTTTCTGAGTCGTTGCAGGGCAGCACGTTGAAGCAGCGACCGTGGAATAAATGGGAATTAAGTCGATGAAGTGATGAACCTCGAACGACTCCCCAAAACTTTCCTCCAAAGCAAGTCTTTCATGGTGCCCTCCTCTTGTCTCAGCTTTCTTGATCCAACACTTCCCAGAACCCCAGGACACTGCCAATAGTTCAGCATGCCTCTACCATACATCTGTGGTCTGTGGACTTTCAGTTTCAAACATTGGAAACTTGAGGAGTCCAGACCTCGACCACCTCGGTCGACCACCGCCGAGCCCCGAAATGACTGGCCACGTGGTCCCCGTGAGAATCGTCCCAGGCGCTCACCAGAACATCCCCAGCTGGGCCAGCACTGGTCGCCTGCCACGTGCGAAACCTGGGCACGCCACGGCCCCAAACCGGCCGACACCGGGCTGAAGCAGCTCCGTCACGGGGCTGAAGGCATCGCTGCACAGGTTCAGTGCCATTGACAACGAGTTCAGTACGGTTGGCGTACTGAAGTCGACGCCTTTCTCAAAAAGAATGTTGGAAGAAGGTTACCCCCCCCCAAAAAAATGTGAGAAACGTTCCTGTAAATGAAAATCGCCTGTGAAGGCGGGTGTCAGAATTGCGATGAATTGGGAATTGGCTCAGGTCATCCCAGGATGGCCTGATGGATCTCTCTACGGGGGCCGCCTTGCTGTCCGTCTGGCCGGGTGGCCCAACCGCTGCAGGATGGCTCACGCCAAAAATGCACACTCTCAAGACAAGCGTTTTGGGTGGTATAGTGAATTTGCAAGTGGTCACATCTCAGCATGGAATTGAACACACATATATGAATCCCGGCGCGCGTTTCCATGGTGAGGTCATGTCGCCCCATTTTTCAGCTATGAAACACTCTTTCTCTACAGAATGATTGTACGTGGGGTTCAGGGCTGCTACAAAATGCCGGTCGTGGAAACACCATACAAAAACAAACATATAAATATAATTACAATATGTCAACATAGGATGAAGTGACCACCCCCGACTAATCAATCCCAGCTCGACCCCACCAATACTAAACTAATTTAAAACCTGGATTTCCAGCTTGACACCCCCCAATATGTTTTTCCTGGGCAGAAACCTCCCCCTATTAATCAACCCCAGCTGCCCCAGAAAGTGAAAAATATAGTTTACCATTATATATATATATATATTTATAAATATATATATATGTATATACACATTTTTATTCATAACTCTTTTATATGTACTTTCTTTTTGGCTAGTCTCCAATATCTTCTGGTCCATGGTGAAATAGCCTCCACCTCCTATTCCTCATCCTCCATGCTCTGATGTGCAATGATCCAATTGGCATGGCTCTCTGATCTATCCTATCTGATATCTGATCTCTTAACAATCAAGCTTGCGCCAATACACTCAAAGCCCTCATGGTTCTCATGGTTCAAACTCTCATGACACAGAATCCCATCAACCATCATCCATGATCAGGTCCAGGTCTTCATCTCATCATCCATCATCAGGTCATCATCTTTATTAAGGAAATGTGGTCCTCCAATACCTCCAATCTCAGACCTTGTTGACCTTGTTGACCTTGAAGGGGGGGGTCCCGGTATAATGACTATGACGTACGCCCAAGCTGGTACTGATCGCATGCCTGGGTGGCTCTCAAACACCCGATGCCGAGGCACAGCCGAGTGCGGAAAGGGACATCTCCCTGGCACCCCCAGAACGCCAAATGAAGCAAAGAGCCACAGAAACTGGGCAAACGATCTACCTTTCCTTCATTCTCATGTCACCTAGGTCACTATAGGGTTTTCTTCACGATATGATCATGGCGATCTGCATGCTCAAACGTCTTCAGAACCGTCACATGGATGTGGATCACCAAAAAATACCCTCGTGATCCACAGATTTCCACTGGCTCCAGGAGGCTTCCAGCCTACTTTTCTTTGTTGCATCTTTTGTGATCTTTTTTGGCCAACAAATCTCGGTTTTTTGGGGAGGCCGCCACCGAACTGTCCTCACCCTCTTTCCGCTCCGGAGTCCGGGCGAACTGTCGACCCTCCTTTCTCGGCCTTGGTCCGATGGTGTGGCGCCAAGTGGGCTTGATCCTGCCACGGAGGCATCCGGAGGCCACGCTCAGTGGCGACGGCGCTCGCGAAGAAGAGGAGGACACCAAGACACGGAACCGGGCAAGGAGAGATTGAGATCAGTCACCCAGGTTCCAAAGAAAGCTTATCCAAGTATTATATAAATTCTTAGAAGGCTACATGTCTTGCATGTTTCTCACTGACAGCTGCACTGAAGATCCTGCCTTTGCGTCAGGGCTGCTCGGCTCTCTGCTACTCATTGAGACAAAAGGTGTGGCACGTGGGCTGCATGGACTTGTTGCTGTTGACATCCGTTTTTTCCACACAAGAAAAAACATGGCAAAGCGGGACAGTTGCTACTCTTTCGTTCCAGTCCGATGGATTGTGCTTGACTTGCCTTCATCTGCTGAATCTACTGAACACTAGAGCCATGTGCGACGGTGAGTACGACCAGCCATGCGTGTGGACTGCACTTTCAGTGAATACGCGACCCTTGAATATTTACTCATGCAATATCATGCAATTACTAAAATTGGGCGGTTGATGTAGATTCTTCGTCAAGGGTCCCCTCCCAACATCTCCCAGCCCTGTCAGGTCTCCTCACCAGAACACCTTAGGGTGTCAGTCCCAGCTGCACCTCTGGGACTGAAAGAGCTGGTCTTGGTCTTGGAGTCCAAAGCAGCGCACTCCGCAGTTGACAGTCTTCAAACCACCAAGACAGGTTGGAACATAGAATAACATAGAGAATAGGGGGAAACAAGATGTTACAAGACATTCTTGGGCAGCTAAAAGCAAAAAACAGAAACAAGAGAAAGGAACATAAGTTTGTTTTGGCGCATCGCATCAATCGCATTTTCTCGAGGATCATGGACTGCTTCGGGCATGACATAAAGACAGGGCTCCCTATCTTTCCAGTAGTTACCACTCAACCTTCGGAGTGATTCTGGAACACATTACATTCCCAACACCGAATGAAAAGCCCAGCTCGTCACTTGACTCGTGACAGCTCATTTGTACTCCACCAGCTTGAGCGTCAACGTGTCGACGTCGGAGCCTTCATATCGTCCCAAGACTTGGCCTCGAAAGGCTGTTGATTTGCGGATTTGCTGATCCTCTGCTTTCGAAACATTTACTGATATTTACAGATCTTCTAGAATTCTATATATATATATATATGTGGCTAATTAATGGACACTCTAATGGACTTAAACTGAATCAGTCCTCAGGTGTTGGAGGTGTGGTCATGGTAGATCCAGTGAACCCCCTGCCGACAAGATGCCCTCTTTCAGAAAGACGCAGGTAGGCAAGCATGTGACCTGATATGCGTCTGCTGCAGCTTCATTCTGCTCCACATCCACCTGGCTTGGGGGGATGGCGTTTTCGGGGTCGGATACCGATCCGTAAGGCTGGGGTCACTTGGATCTTTCCCTCTACAGGCCAGGACTAGGGATTTGTTCCTCTTGTTTTTTTAACACCGACCTTTTAGGCATTAACTTTTAGAACACCTTCCTAGGGTTTTGTTCTTTTGCTTTTCAAAGACCACCCACCTTTAGACTCTTTTAGGAGCTTCAACAAGTGTTGCCTTCCATCCTAAGACCTCAAAGCCTCCATCGTGGTTAAACTTGCGTGACTCAACATCAGGGTGAAGAAACTGCCAACCAGCCTGCACATAATAGCTTGCATTTCACGCTACAAGGTCTATATAGTATAGTTTGACCATTTCACACATATATGATAGTCATCTTCTTCCACTTCCTCGAAATTCCTGATCAAAAAACATACAGGTCACATTGTGTGGCAGTTTCGTATGTCCAACCACAATGGTTGGCAGCCAGGCGCCATTTCGTGCATGGCCAAAACGGCCCATGCAAGGGGTATCTTTTCCCATCCCCAATTCGATCTAAACAAACTCGTTGAAGACGAACGAACATCGCTTCAAAATTGTTCAATCCAAACGTCTCATAATGTTCCCCCAGTCCTTCCTCCTTTACACATCTCCCAAAAAAATACATCCGATCAACCGATTCTGCAGCCACAGCCATGGCCTCCAAGAAGATGACCTCTGGCATCTCTAAGGCCAACTGCTGCAGCTCAGGCTTTAGCCGCCCACATGGCACACAAAGTGTTGAGGAAAAGGACAGCAACACCAAAGACGAAGACCGCGCTGCCACCTCGCAGTCTGGGCTGAAGTACAGGAAAGCTTCCGTGGACTTATCAAAGGTGGGTGGGGTCACTAGATCACCCTGAACCCACCCTCGACTAAAACTCATCCAGGTGTTCCATGGCTTATTTAATTTCGGTTGTGCTCTATTCGTATCTGTTCCTAGTCTTCGGGGCAAGCTCTATTTGGGCTTCCCAATCTCCACAATTTGGTTCTTGAAAGGGAGCAGCCTAAACAACATGGTCTACCAACTTTGGCTTTCAACGTTGGTTACGAATGTTGTGACACCAGTTCTTTCTCCTGTTCTTCAAACTCAGCTATAGCTATGGGAAAAGGTCTTGTGCTGTCCCTGCCACATGGGCCTTGGCTTTGGACTTATCCTCCAATAGCTCAGCAGTGGTCTAGAGTCTAGATACCACGCCTAAGGACCGAGAAAAACACGACTTACTTCGGCTTCGGCTCGCTGAAGAGCCTTCGCGTCACGTTACACTCCCAAACACCTCCACGTAGACATATTTACATAATGATACATACATCTATATATATATATAACGAGCATCCTAGACTTAGTTTAACATGATCCAGGGCGAGCATCCCGCAGCTCGTGCTTCAAGGCAGCCAGATCTTCGCAACGAACACAGGCACGATCTTGCCGCGGCAAACGCACCAGGCAGTCTTCAGAGCTTAAGTAAGACTCTGGAATGTTGGCCTTGGGCGATGCTGGTCTCGTGGTCAGCCATGCCTTTCCGAACATGCATGCGAGTGATGATTGGCAAGTTTGAAGGCCCGTGCCTGGCGAGGAAGTCTCTACCTTCATGTGCTCTCAGCGGCTTTCAAGTGGTACCTTTGGTGAGGTTCTTTGGGCCATACATGGCCATACATTGGCTGGAGCGCCCTTCTCTTTCCATTCCAGTCCCTGCTTGGAGTGTCCCTGCTTGGCAGCTGTGACATGCTGTGACTTCAGGTCAAGGCACCAAGACTTGCAAGGCCAAGTGCTCCGCCTCCGACCGAAGAAGTGCATCGAACAGCGAGGAACAGTCGCAAACTACGATTGCAACGACCATCGTTGGGTCGGGTGCCGGGATCTCTCCATGATCCTAACAGTCCAAATGGTCACCTAATTAAAACAAACAAAACAAAACATCTGGCATTCCAAGACAAAGACCAAGCTTACCCCATCCGGACCTCTAAGGACCCAGTCGCGTCCCCGCCCTCAGGCACCTGAGTCCCAAGCTTCGCCATTCGTTTCAGCAGCCGTTCTTGGAGGTCTGGCCAGGGCAATGCTCCGCCGGCCACCTCAACTAGGTACCCCATTCGTTTCAGCCCTTCGAAACGTTCGACCCTGGCAGCCTCGCCAGGGAAGCGTGGCGAAACGTGGGTTCTGAAGATCGGACCGAACACCGCCCATTGGATCGGTGCAACGAAAGAGATCCAAACGAAACATGATATGCTTGGTATAACAATTCCGAGCATGACCTCACAATGGTGTGATCCACGATCATACAGATCCATCATCCAAAATCCAAACATCACACCGATCACTATCACCATCACCGCAAAAATATGTCCAACTCCGATCCAGTCCCTCAAGTCACGCCTCGAGAACTTGATCCACCAGTTCACGCCATTCCATGGAGTCTTCCGAGATCCGCATGGCTGAAGCGCAGACTCTGAGGCTTGCTCTGTGGTTTGAGTAGAGGTCCGGTGTGTGGCATCAAGGGCTAGGATATGCCCAAACACTCCATGTATGCATGGAACATTAAACAAATCAATGAGTATATAATGGTTATTCGATGTTATTCCCCTGAAACCACCTACATGGAGTGTCTGGGTATGTCCGGGTAATATCTAACTGCAAATGTCATGTGAGATTAGAAGGGGGGCACAGTCACGACACTGCGCGAGTATTGACAATGTACCAATGTACCAAAACATGATCAACATATCATATGACTCGTAGTCAGGGATGTACCGATGTACCCGGTATCCCTACAGTTCCAACTCCGGGCATGTTCTATTGGCGCTCCTTGGCTGCGTCATTGTGCCGGGACATTTCAGCAAGACCAGCCAAATTCCGGCACCAACCCAAGCATTACATTTCCCAAACTGAACATCTGCGATGCAACAACATTAAGCCGGGCCCACAGATTGTCAGTGCAAACACTTCCGTCCATTTTCGGCCTTTTTTTAGGAGGAGGTCTGCTGAATGCCAGATGCTCAGGGCTGGACAAATCAGGCATAGCACCAAAAAGGGGAGCATTGTCAAACTAAGCAGAAGTCTGAGGGTTATCCTTTCCGGCTTCGAGCCTCAATTCGTGTGGCAGCGTCCTACCACACCACTTCATGCCACTTCATGTCCAAACCTCACTGAACAACGCGTATTAACAAAAAGAGGATTCAATAACATCAACTCATCAATATACATCAACCACCCATCTCATCCTGGTACATCAAGGCTTACTGCACAACCGGAGCGAAAGTGACGGGATCTCCTTGTTAGTGCCCGGATGGATCAAAATCACCCCTTAGCCTTAGCAGACCTTAGCAGCCTTAGCAATTCAGTAGCCATGATATGCCCTGATACTATCAGCCCACTTTAAGAGGCCCTTATTCCAATTTGGTCCCCCCCACCCCAATCTCCAAAAATCATCTGCCGATCTGCAGCCTTTTCCGCGGCCCTTTCCATCGAACATCTGTGGTTTCTCGTGACGCGCGCCACGGTGTCTCCGCTAACGAAGTGATCCACAACGGTGCGGGAGGAGCTGCGTGTGGCGCCCGTCAGCTCAGTGCTGCGAAGAGAAGCTCGACGGCTTTGGCGCCCGGGTCGGGCACACCTCACGAAAGATGGTCGAACACAGAGCGAGTCAGGTTGATTGTCATCTTTTCCGGGCACTTCTTTTGATCCATTCTGTGACCAAACTGGCTCAATTCATGGGATCCTTCATGATCGATGGCTGTGATATCCTCTGCTTGGCATCTGCTTGGTTTGTGCCGGCATCTCCAGTGGATCCCTGGCAATTGGGTCGACCGCCTGGCCTTTCAGCACTGACTCTGGCACATTCTCCGATCGACCAGCCTGGGAAGGGCGGAAGGGCTCACCACGGTCCGGTCTCATGGGGTCTATAGGTAGGCTCATGTGATGGTCCGGGTTGATACAAGTAGGAGGGAGCCGCAGAAAACCAGCTGAAACCAACTCCAACGATCCTCAAAACTCCGCGAGCATGCCCAACCCATCTGGCCAAACCTTAGGCTTCATGGACTTCGTCGCTTCACAGCCCTCCTTGGCTGCAGCCGCAGCACCTGGCGGCGGCGATCGAACCGGTTGTATGAGCTCGTCCACTTCAGTGGATTCGGTGCTAGGTGACTTTGCCTTCTGGGTGCTTTTGATAGCCCATACCACCTGAGGTCAATATTTTCAAATCGTCTCTGGGCAAAGACTCAGCAAGTTCGCCAAAATTCTCACGATCCTGCCTGTGAGACCCTTCTCTTCGATCAAGGCATCAGCAGCAGGCACCAAAGCATCCAGCATCGTGCGAGAACCTGAGCAACATCTCAGCAAAGGGCAGGCGAAGGAAAACCCATCAGCATCATTAAACAAAAAGATCTACTGTAACTCATTGAAATTGATGAATTGGTGGCCTGGTTGGTGCAAAGGTTGTCATCTATTCTATAATGGTCATAATTCAAGGGAATCCCAACGCCGAAACTCGACACAGCCCACAAAACGCCGCACCCTCCCACTGGGCATCCACTTGGATAGCCCGGCCTGGACTGGCACCACCTGCATCCATCATCGCTTGAAGGCCTGCCTGGCATACCATCTGTGGGCTCTCAGGTGCTCCTTGAGGAGCTCTGCTTGAAACGGCAGTCAATCTGATGCATCTGCTGCAGCCCCTCTGGACTCTGGGGAAGGACCCCCAAAACCAACGAAGGAGAACCTTCATCACCTTTTGTCTTTTGAAGATTTTGCCGTGCTCCTTGATTGGATGTTCAAAGAGCCTCCGTCCATATCTCATGGATCATAACTAATGGGTCCTCAAGACCGTGGTATGACCTCCACGGCTCCCTTGCATGGAAGTTTAAGCCATCAACGTCAGGCTTTTTTTGGCAAACTCTGACTTTTTGAGGAATGCGATGTGCAGCTATGGCCAACACTAAAAGGAGACCAAGGAGGGCTTACAACGCCTGTGTAAAAGAGCCCGTGCTGTGAGGGCCTTGACAAAACCGCCGAAGCAATCGCCCAAGATCGACCCGATGACGTCTGACCCGCCTTGAAGGCTTCAGGGAGGGAGCTCCAGTTGGAGCCGGACTCCCAATGGCTGGACCTGCAGTTCGTGTGGGAAAAAGGAGGTGAACGATCACCTCTGGATCTCTTTGGGTCATGGATGGTGATGCTGCAGCAACTTGACATTTAAGGTCTAAGGACCACCATATTTCATAATATGCTATATTTTATAGGAGTCTTGTTGCCGACACTGCAGGAAGATTGCATGATACGCTCCATGTTTTGAGCCAAGTGCAATTCATCCAAAGTCTTTCACCAAGGCTGGGCCACTCTGTGAAAGGAGCAGCTGGCTTCAGGCTATCCAGTCATGCTGGTAATCCGCATTCCCGGGTGCTGTGTATTATCAGGTACGCTGCACACCCAGTGTAGCTACATAGCTAGACATCGGGTATAGCAACATCATGATGTTCTCCGTCGATTTCCGGAAGTCGTTCCCACATCAGCACGGAGATGCAGGTCTGGCTGGGTCACCAATGACGCACCCAGTGGCATGCCCATAAACATGATGCTCAGCAATACGCCACTGGAGCCACCCATGGTCTTGCCTCACTGACGGCGAGGGCCGCCGGCCGAAACGAAGCACCGAGCAAACCACGGTGCTTCGTAAGGGGGCGCTTCTCGCGGGTGCGGCCTTTGGGCATCGGTGGGTGGCCTTCTTGGTGTTTCAATACATGTGTCCAACGTGTCTTGTAAAATATGTCAAAGCCGGTTCCAAGGAGAACCGCTTCATGGGCACAGCTGGTTCTGTGCTACAATGCCGACGAGTGACGATGGGTGAGGATGGTGGAATGTAAAAGAAAGCTGAGATTCTTGCGTGGGCAAATGAGCCAAAGGCTTCAAGCCCCTTGAAGCAAACCGGCTTCCAACATTTGAGTTTCTCATCGATCTGAAGGTCTGAAGCAAACAGAATGCATGGAGCAGTGCTAGCGAAAGACACAACTACAGTAGCAGGAGAACTGCATGGAACACAATCTGCAGAGAACAGGCAGGCTGGCAGTGGTGTGTCTAGTTTGAAGAGAGAGACCTTGAAGAAGCCTCCATGGTCCAAGAGAATCTTCAACAAGCCGAGAAACCCAAAAGGTCTGATAAGCAAGCACAAAAGGCCTTCGGATCAGCCATCGGCAATCGTTCCTGCTTCTCCAGTATGCTTGTGGCTGCCTGGGGACGACGCCTTTCTTTGGTGACAATGGCGGCTTTTCATGGAAAAATGAAACAACCAAGGTCATGATAATCTGATAGGTGATGTCATAAGTTCTTTAGTTTCGATGTCCAGAATCCTTGACACGTTCCGTTCCGCACCTTGGCCATGGTCGAACCACAATCTGCATCGCCCACCTTCCCATCTAAGCGATCCAGCCTCGGCGATCTAGCGGCAGCGGCGACGAGGAGGCTAAGCGTTTGGTGCTCTGACAACACCGAGGAGTAGAACTGGAGGGATTTGCTAATGGCTGAGCTGAACAACCCGTTTTGAGAGGTTTTAGCATGTTTAACTGTTTAATGTTATGTTTGACATGTTCAAGGTTTCGGGTTAGATCGAGTTGGTTTTGAGCACCACACTGCCATGTTATGCCCAGCTACGACTTAGCCTCAAAATATCTCAAATGTGTGAAAGGTAGTGCGGTGACTTGCCTTCTTTCGGGTTGACGACAGAAACGTCCCATTCCAATCCTGCACATCCCATTTCGCTTGTTTCGCTCAGGGTCGTTGGCTTGAACGAGCGTTGGGTGATGGACGAGCGTATGAGGATGCCAAAGAAACAGGCGGTGCTGGGGCAAACATAGCAAAAGGATGCAAAAGGTTTAGAATGGGCGATCAACAAGGGGCGACGATACCCTGATTTCGTCGCTAGCCGCTAGTTGCTGGAATGAGTATTCATTGAGACAAACAAACACACAAACAAACAAACAAACAAACAAACAAACAATTTTTCCCTAAAATCATGCCATGAGGTCAGAAAGAGTGTGCCATGTTCCTCCAGCCATTTCCCTTAAAGAAACTAGACGTACGTACGCCTCAAAAGTAGAGGAGAACCTCAAAGTGAAGAAACCCTTGCACAGCCCGTCCCGTGTGCGAGGCTGCACCACAAACTAAAGCACCAGCAAGTAAGTAGTGCAAGTAGTACTTGAATGCCCACTGATGGAGCTGGGATCATATTGGATCTAATTACATCAGTCATATATACATCTGAATCGCACGAAAAAGCGCGCGTTTCGGGCGCTCCAACTTGGAGTCTTCCAAGTTGCTCAGACTTGGCGGCGATCAGTGCCTTGCAGGCCTTCTCCAGCATGCCTTTCACTGTTTCATCGCTGGAGGGTGACACCCCCTCGAAGCAATCCTCGCCGACTCGGACCAGTCGGGTTTGCGTGCTGGTGATGGCATAGGCCAAACAGGGGAAATACACACTCCTCACTCATCTTCCTGCTTAGGGGCTTAGGAAGGCTGAGGCTAAAACCGCCTGAAGGCCCGTCTCTCCTTCACCTGCACGGCGGCGCTGGTGGGAAACTCCGGCTTCACAGCCGCCGGCCAAGCACTGGAGGAGACCGGTGCACAAATCAACGAGGACCAAGAGCTGCTAAAGGGCAACAAGCTGATGGAGATGCCATTCATGTCCTCAGCACAAGAAAACGGACATGTTTATCATGTGTAAATTTGGGTTTGGAAAAAGAATCTCAACCAGGTTCTTGGTGCGTTTTGTGTTTGTGACTTTTGTTCGAGAGGTGAATATGATCCTCAAGACCGGGTGTTTCGGATGACCTTTTCCACTGAGTTTGAGGTTCACGACATGATGATCTAACCGTGTCTTCATGTACCGCACACATGCCGAGCCCCCTGGCCATGTCTGGTTTCGTCGCTGTTTGGGCGCCAGCCAGTCGCGCCTCTTTTTCCTTCGCGTCTCCAGGAACCAAACAACTTCGAGCGACGGACTGGTGGTTGCTCTGTGGGGCGGTGTGTGAAGAAACACCCTTTTTTTCGCCCACTGTGAGACACATCTCAGGTACTTCTGGGCCTTCAAAGATTGGATGGATCTCACCTGTTGTCGTGTTGCACGAGACCGCATGGCTGTGGCATCAGCTTCCGTGGTCGGTGGCTTCCGGATGGTCGTCATATTATGTCGTCATGGGATGATCGATCTTTTCTGGCCTAGTCATCTGGTGAAGCAAATGTTTCCTCTAGCTCTTGCAACATCAATGCAAAGTGTGGGTAGAGTCGGAGGAACATGCTCCGCTCTGCGGCTGCTTCATTCCCAAAAACCGCGGTGAAGGCAAACTGGGCAAACTCCCGCCGCTCCTTCTCAGCACTGGGGCCGCGGCCTTGAGCCCGCCGGAGCTTTTCACACAAATGGCCAAAATCCGCTGGATACATCTGCATCCCCTGTGGACCGGGTGATGCAAAGCTCTCGAACACCGCATTGGCATCGTGCCATCGTACGGTGCCACCCGGACCTTGTGCCTGCCAGGCGACTCCGGCTCCGCCCGCGCGGGTCCGCTGTGGGTGTGCCTGCAGGTGTACTGCGCTGGCGAGAGGCTGGGCATCCATGGACATTTCCGCCTGGGCCTGGACGAGCTCCCCCCGCAATTCGCCGCACTGACGCTGTAGGTCGCTAACTTCAAAGCGACTCGCCACGAGCTCTGAGGCAGAGTGGAGCTGATACCTGGAAGGAGATGCGCAAACAAACAGGAGCTCTCTTGGAGGGCTATCATTGAGATTGAGAAATTGGACTGGAGTATACTGGAGTAAATTTCAACAAGTCAGGCTGTTTTAGGTGAAGAGGATTAGCCCTCGACCTAGACAGAAACTTGAGCAATTTGATGTTCATCATATTGTCTGCCGGCTGGATGCTCTTCCACCTGAGACTGCAGGTGCTGCTCCTGCTCGCTCAGGCGCTCTGCGCGCTCGCGGAGGGCACTTTCGGTAGAGAGGGCTGCAGGCAAACGCAGGGCCGCCTCTTCCCAGTGGGCCAGCCTATAAGAGTCCAACCAGGTCAGGTAATGAGCACTCAACAAAACAGAACAAACAGCGGAATGGGAACACCAGGTTGTCAAGAGCAGCTAAAGGTTAAAGAATGCTGTTAAAACAAGGACTAAGTGGAACTATTCTGGTACAGTAGTGGCTAGCCAAACCTATATAAACTTCCTTGGCACACAATGGCACACATCTTGAACTCACCACCTGATACTCAGTCAAGTGGCCTTGGATCCCGATCCCGAGCTTGATTCTGCTTGCGCCAATTATCAGCCTGTGCTGCTAGACCTTTGGCTTCTTGCACCAGCTCAGCACACAGCTCCGCTTCAACCAACTCCTCCTTTCGTGCCATCCGGGCTTCTGCTTCGAAGATCCGCAATTGAAACTGCCCACGATCGCGGCGTGTGGGGGAGGAACTCTCCTCAAGGCGATCCTCACGTTGTGCCAAAACACGACGGAGGCCCCAGGTCTCTCGAATCTGGGACGTCAATAAGTCCAGGGCAAATTGGAGATCTTCTTCAGAAAGAGAGGATCGGAGACGAGCACGCAAGAGTTCGCATTTCTCTTCCACGGCTTTATCTTCAGCTTCCTGATCTGAAGCATGTTTAGCCTGCATGCCTGAAGCCGGCAGCTGAAGGCTGGCTTGAGCGGCCCATGACATTCCAGTCAAAGGACTATGCCAGCTATACCATTGGGCGAACGCATCAGCTGGGCTGCAGCCATGAATGTGAGCTAGGCCAAAGCAAACATCCACAAAATGGTGACCATTGAAATGTGGTCATTCACCACTAAAGGGTGCACCGATAAAATCATGCAGTTGCACTGCTGCGCTTAGGCTGACGAAGTTGTCCCCAGTCAAGGAAGCCACAGGAGGTGCAAAGTAGATTTGAGATCATCACTTAAAAAATGGTGAGCTTATGGCTCAAGAATGGGCAATCATCAACCTCTCGGAAAAGAGCGGGACCCAGGAAACCATCCTGAAAATGCCGTCACTAACAGGGAAAGAATTGAACTGCGAGCGGCCAGCGATGAACAAATCTGAAGAGCATGTCGACGACAACAAACGCACCCAGCACAGCCGTTGCCTTTTCTCGGGAAACACTGCGCTTGGATCTAATGCAGACTCGCCGACTGCGTCTTTTAGGCTAAACTCTTTCAGCCCCTCTTCGTCATTGTGCACAATGCTTGCTCCGTGCACTTTCTGTCTAGTATTGTTTTAGAACTGTTGCCTGTCATGCGAAGAGGGTGAGAGAGAAGCACTGCAGCCAAAAGGCCTTCTATACTATATAAACTCCCCATCCTGCCAATCCATCAACAAGCCTGAAGCCGGAAGCAGTCTGACAAGGCTTAGACAGCTGCCGCCTCGGGCCTTCGTTTCGGAATTGGCAGCTCTACACGGCACGGGTGCGTTTTTGGGATCGCAGGGCACCGATCTGGGGAAGGGGTCGCCCCCACTGCGCATCGTTGGGCACAGGACCAACTTGGGGCTTCTGTACAAAGGCCTGACTGCCTATACGAGCCATGGCAGGCGATGCGAGTTCTTGAAATGTGTCCATAAAACCGAAATCCAAGCGTGTGTACACCCTGTTCACTTGTATCTATATATATATATATTAGTTCATTCTATATAGCTGTATACAGTTACAATGCATGCGTTGTCTTGTTCAGGTTGGGTGTCAGGCTGCGAAAACCGGAGGGCTCTCCTGGCACGGAGGGTGCTTAGGACCCATTGGGCCACCACCGGCCGATGTCTTGCACCTCTTTGTGGCATATCACCACACTTCACCTGGGCGTACGGCGTATGCACAGTGAAATAAATCAATGCACGGTGCCGACAAACAAATGTCTTCCGGTCAAATCACGAAAACGAGCTGGGCAAGAACTTCTCCCCCAGACCCTGCAACAGTCGACATTGCAGGGCTGTCGCACCCCTATCAACCATAAATGACCATGTCATACCATATCATTATTGCTAATCATTGCAAACATTTGCAAACAATTCTTGGGCTGGGAAAAACTCTTAAAGAGAAAGCTTGCGAATGCTCACCCAGGCAGCAGTACTGTACATCTTTCAGCATCACCATTTCATCACATTCACCTCACGGTGCCATCATGCGGTGCCATCCACGGATGGCTGGGCTTCTCGAATGCATCAACTGGATGGTGGTTCTACTACCCAAACATATCGGTGAACTGGCTCGTCGTGCACAAATAGAATTGCAGTAGTCAATGAAAGCACTGGACGCTCTCGCGCCCTTCCGACCGCGGACCACATTGGCATCTTGCAGCGGATGGTTCTCCGTCGAAAAACGACTCAAAGGACGTGAAAAAGCAAAAGAGTGAATGGCATTAAGAAGCTACTAGGAGCAAAGGGCATCGCTACTAGGAGCAAGGACGC